ACCTACCAAAGTAGAAGGCATTGAACATCAAAAAAGGTATCCTGTCCTGCCAAAATAGCACTTTTTGCTGCACAAAAGTACGTACTATAAAGCACTTTAAGTTCCAAATTTTAAAAGACTAAATAATAAAATCTTAACAAAAAACATGTTGAGACCTATTTAATTCTCCAAATCTCATTTGTACTAAGAATATTCAAATTAAATTACCAATGTCTAATTAAATCTCATTTCATTAGACTTAAAAGGTATAAATATAAATTTCATGCAAATTTCTATAAGTATTTTAAAGAAATCTCTTGAAAAAGAAGTGCTCTTTCACACAAAGAGTGGTAGTCCTCAAAAGAGCCAAAACATCTGTATTCACTTTAAAGCTCATCAAGACAGACTGACATTTTTAGGAGAAGCATATGGCTTGCTGAACAGTCATCTAGAACAGAATCTTTTGTCTGGTAAACCCTATTCAAGGTCCATTTACTTATGTATGGAGTGGCTGAATAAAGGAGAAAACATATTTTTGAGTCCTAAAAAACACAAAGAAATAAACTCTTCATCCTGCTTTGTTAAGCACATAGCACAACATACTACAAAAGCAGCCAGATCTTTACCCTCAACTGCTCTCAACATCTGAAACAACTCTAAGAAATCACTGAAACAAAAGAACTCTAGAAAAGCATGAAACTTTCTTAGAGAACTATACCCACCAAAGACCACCTCCCTAAAAAAGGCATTTCCATTTTAAAGGGTAAAACACTTTCTTCTTAAAACTTTGAGGGGCAGAGTTCAACAGCTGCGCTGTATTAAACCTGAGCCCTTCCAAAAGGAAGAACGAGAGTCTCTAGAGAGCGAGTGGCGTGGCCGGCTTTCTCCAGCATTCTCAAAATGCCTGCCTGGCTCAGAGGGAGAGCTCCCCAAAAGAGAGCCTCTACCAGTGCACTGGTGAAAAGCACAAAACAATTCAGATTAGGAAAATGCGCACAAATTAAAGTATTTGTTTGTCTCTGGAAATCTCCATCCCTCCCCCACGGAAAAAGTGCATTTTGAGTGCATTTTTGAGATATAGCAAAGAAACTATTGCGGGGGGGGGGGGGACCCAAAAAACTAGTTTTCAGCCTGAGCTTCCCATTGGAGCCACCATAATGCTTAGCCTCAACCTACACTTACAACCAATATGTATTGGGGCCAATGCAACTGGAGTTTTATGTCCATATCAGGTGGTTCTGATGCACAGCAAGTGTTTAAAAAACCATTGAACTGATCCCATAAAGGAAAAATTAAGTCTAGTGAGGGCACTGGCCAGGCTGCCCATTAGTTAGAGCGTCGTCCCAATACGCCAAGGATGTAGGTTCCATCTCCGGTCAGAGCACGTACAAGAATGAGCCAATGAATGCATCAATAAGCAGAATAAATGGATGTTTCTATTCCTAAATCACTCTATCTATCTATCTATCTATCTATCCATCTATCTATCAAATCAATTTAAAAAATTAAGTCTAGGGAGCAAAGGCGGGAAGAAAAGGTCACATCTGAGCAATTCAACTAGTTCTAAAGAATCTAAGGTTGTATTCATTTATCAAAATACTCAGACAACAGGAGAATTTGAAATAGAATTCTGAACTGCTCTCAAATGGTTCTCATGCCATTACTTAAAGGACAAAAGACTTAAAAACAGTTTGCTAAAACACCCAAATATTTAGATGAAAGTTGTTATGAAAAATGTGGCCATTGAGTAATTCAGGTACAGTAAGTTTCCATGAGAATCTTTGGAAACTAAAACAGAAAAGTTATAATAAGGGCTCATGTATTATCTGTAATTATCTGTCAACCTGAAAAAAGTTGCAGGCTTTAATCACCATCATCAGAGCTTCATTAACCCTACTTTATTTTAAACGAAATCTTAACAGGTTTACTTGCTTGATATTCAAACCCGTGATAAGTCAAAAGAGGTAGTGAAACTGCTAGAGGGAAGCAGACCAGTCAAGGAAGGACCTCAAAACACTATTAAATAGCAGACTTAAGAACTCAGAAAGCCTAACAGCCATTTGGCAGTGGTTAAAGGCAGCCAGATGCAGTGACTTTCCTCACGATCCCTGGAGCAAGAAGACAGAAAAGTTGGTTCAATCTACCTTGTTATGCATACATTATATGTATTGTGCTTAAGAGGGTGAGAAAGTATAAAAATCAAGTCACCTGTAGAAAGTCTCTCACCAAATAATTACAAAATTTACAGGAAAAAAAATCCTACCTGGAAAACAAACAAAAGAAAGAAACCTCATTTCTCAACTGGGGAGACTCGTTGCACAAAAGGAACAGTGGAGTGAGAGTAAAGAGCGTCAGACAGCCTCGCAAAGCACACACCTCACTAAAAGGAAAGGGGACGGGAAGACACCGAGGTTTCATTTAGTGTGACCAGACATTATGACCCGCACCGCAGGAAGTCCACGCACTCCTCCGGGCTGCTCGCTCCGACTACTCCTGGTGACGCGCAGGCACACCTTGGGGACACTGCGGGCTGGGCCCCAGGCCACCGCCCTAAAGCCAGTCTCCCCCAAAGCGAGTCTTCATCTGTCTGCTGGTGGAGAGTCTTGCCTTCAATGTGTGAAAGCACAACATCTGTTAAGTCCAGTAAAGCCATGCACGATAAAAGGCGGTATGCCGGTAAAGGGAAAACTCCGTTTCCTCATCTGCACCTGCTTCCTCTTCTGAAAACAGCAGCAAGGCCAGGAACACCTGAGCTCACAGGCTCACTACGAGAGATACACGAGACAACCAGAGGTCAAGTCCTGGGCACAGTGGCCCCTACACAGCGACAAACACGTTAGCTGCTGTTCTTACTTAGTCCTCAGAATAAACGCCCTAAGAATCATCCTCAGCTTTCACCTGAGGGGATGTATTAGACGCTCTTCCAAAACGTCTCACTCTGTATCCAGCGCACACCAACCAGAGACCTCTGCTAACGCGTATTAGAACAGGAGCTGAGCTGCTCCATCTTTCCCCACGGAGCCCCGTGGGTTGTAAACTCTGAAAAATTTCATGTAAAACAGGTTGCAGAGAACAAGCCTGATAATTATATTCAGTTATTACTATTCCAGAAAGTGCTCATGTTTCATGAGGACCCTTTTCCAAATAAATTAATTTCCAACTTTTTAAATTTGAATACAAAAGAAGGATCAGGATAATTGCCAAAGAAATACATGAGTACAACAAAATCTACTGATGACAACTTCATTCCAGAAGTAAACGGTTTTGGGTAATGGAAGTTTTGGGTAGTGGTATAAGTTTTAGGAATATCCTAAACTTATACCATTACAAATAATTAGAAAAGAATAGGTGTTGTACATATTTTATATTCACATTTATTGGGTTGACCAAAAAGTTCATTTGTTAGATTGTATTGTGACAGTTATCATATCAGCATGCATTAAAAAAACTTATCAAAACTGGTGAATTTTGTGTGCAGCCATTTTAATATTGAAGATGGAAGAAGATATGTAACACTTCTGGTGTATTATGCTTTATTATTTCAAGAAAGATAAAAATGCAACTGAAACACAAAAAAAGATTTGTAACGTGTATGGAGAAGGTACTGTGACTGATCAAACGTGTCAAAAGTTGTTTGTGAAGTTTCTTGGTACTATTGACATTCTGGCCAAACAATTCCCCGTTGCGGGGGCTGCCTTATCCCTGGAGGGTGCGGAGCAGCAGCCCCGGCCTCTCCCCGCGGGAAGGCAAGAGCGGGAGAGACCGACAGGCTCAAAACATAAACAAATCAAAAAAATCATCGGTGAAAATCAAGATGTGTCGTTTATTTTACAGAAAAAAACTAAACGGACTTTTTGGCCAAACCAATACTAACAAGCTGTTGAAAACAACAATAAGACACAACAACTATTCTCAGGTTAAGAACGTAAGTGGTCGTGTTAGGGCTACAATAAAGTCTGGAAAATTCGACAAAATAGGGAAATGGAGGATTAAGTAATGCAATCGCAAATAAACGTCACCATTACAAAAATGCTTCAAGACAACGCAGTAGCAACAAAAACTTAATTACGACGAGAGTTTAATAAAATTCTGGATGGGAAACCTCCCTGCATGACCAGCAGAGCAGCCTTTGAAAAATTAGCCTCTAATATTTTACCAACACTGATTTCCCACCAAGTGTTCCTGCCAAGCAGATGGATGGATGCACAGAACAATGTTTCCGTTCAGAACCACATGAACATCACTCCAAGACAAGACGAACTCACACTCCCACCCCCGCAGGTAAGGACCGAAATGGTGGACCAGCAGGTGATTTCCTACCCACCCCCCGCCCCCGCAGGTAAGGACTGGAGTGACTAGGGCCAGCAGGTGACTTCACACCCGCCCCCCTCCCTGGCAGGGAGGGAAGGACAGGCCAGCAAGTGAATTCACCACCCAGGTAAAGATGGGAGTGAAGAACCAACAGGTGACTTCGCCCCGCGCCCCCGCCCCCCACCCCCGCACCGCCCGTAAGGGCTGGAGTGAAAGGCCAATAGGTGACTTCACCCTCCAGTAGGTACTGAAGTGACGAGCTAACAGGTTACTTCACCCACTAGGTATAAACAGGAGAGACAGGCCAGCATGTGACTTCAAACGCCCCCCCACCCCCCGCCCCAGGAGAGGCCTGGCGTGACCGGCTAACAGGTGACTTCACCCTTCAGGTAAGGACGGGAGAGGCCAGCAGGTGAAAAATGGAGGGTCCGGGACGCCGGGAACCGGTGAGACTCCGCCCCTTTTCTGGGCTCGGCAGCCGCTAGGGGACAACCTGCCCGGAGACCTGCCCCACGGCTCCAGGACACACGCCCCCAGGAAACCGGACACCCGTGCCGCTGCCGCCCGGCTCGCGACCTCCCCAGCAGCACCGCCCGCCCTCCCTCGAGGACGCCTTCCAGGAGGCCTTCTCCGGCGCCCAGCCGCAGAGACCCCGCAGAAGTGGAGGAGACACCCGAGAGCCTGAAGAAGAAGCCTGACAGTCCTGTTACCTGGTCGGAACCCGGGGAAGGGAAACGACAGCCACAGCCACGGCCCTTCTCCCCCACAGCGCTCGCTTCAGCGCCTCTGACATTGAGACCGCCGCCATCTTGCCGCACGCGAACGCCGGACGGGTCCCCGCGAAGGACAAACTTCCTCCGTTCTGTGACCGGCGCAACCGCGATGCTGTGGGGTGGGGCTTTGTTCATTTTTTTCTTGTTTGGTGTTTTGTTAAATGCTGGAATTTAAAAAAGGCGAAAGGTTTGGTTGAAGAAAAATGCACAACTGCTTTAAGTGTAAATAGTACCCCCATTAAAGCGTAACTTTTTTTGTTGTTATGACTGCTTATTTAATGAAAGACTAAAAGAAAATACTTGAAAATTTAAACACCTGCAACTCATAATTTTTTCAAAGGACTCCAAATATTTAGGGCTGAGCCCACTGGAAGAGCCAGAGGGCCCTTTTGGCTCTTGAGAACCTAAAGTAATACTTTCGCAAAGTGCTGCCAGATTGAGGTCGCCGGTCCCCAGGACCCGCTCTGTTCTGAGTGATGAGCTACGATAGAGTTTCCAAACGAACTCTGCTCACGTGGCCTGACACAGGGTTATTATTTTTTCTTTTTTTATATGTGGATATATATGAAAAACTCATGGAGCATAATATTGGATGCCACTGTATTCCCAAAAGTTTCTGAATATGTGATCATAATTCGCAGACACCAAGATGATGATGAACGCTCCGTCCATATAAAACAAAAAATCATCTCTGAGACCCGTGTTGGAAACATGTTTGTAGTGTGGGCTACTGACCTGAAGAACACTGATTGTATAAAATAAAAAACAGGTTCATTTGTGGGTTATTTTTTTAAAGAGTTTTTTTAAAAACAACATTGCTTCTTTAAGAATTAAACACGTGGAAACAAAACCTTCATTAAAAGAATAGGGTTGACAGGAGGATGGGGAATGACTTGCTTCTGCATTGTAGCTAATTCAAAGAAAACTTAATACATAAAGAAAATGGGGAAGGAGAGACATTCAGCAACATTAGCCCCTAGAACCAAAGAGAGGAAGTGAGTCCACGGAAGGATAAAATGTACATAAAGATAAAGGAAGATGAGGGAGAGATGTCTCAGGGAATTTTCTGTAAAACTTTTTTATCTTGAAATAATTATAGGTTTCACAGAGAATTGCAAAAATAGCACAAAGAGGTGTTGCGTACCCTTCACAGAGCTTCTCCTATTGATTACATCTTAAGTAACTAATACAGTATCAAAGGCGGGAACCTGACATTGAAATAAAGTCCACTACTCTGTTGCCATGTTTATAATTTTGACATTTCAGGAATGTTATGTAAATGGACTCACGCAGCACATGACTTTTTGTGTTTGACCTCTATAATCCAGCAAAATGCTGTTGAGGTCCACCCAAGTCATTGCATTTATCAGTAGGTCATTCCTTTTTATTGCTGCATAGCATTCCATGGTGTGTTTATCAGGATTTTCCAGAAAAACAAATCCAGTAGGATAAAGACAAAGTCCCTTCCTCCACCTGATTTGACAGGACCCATATGGTCTGTCCCCTACCCTCCTCTCAGGCTCCTGACTGTGCTCCTGTCCTGCCCTAGGTAGAGCCTTGCACAAGCTGTCGTCTGCTGGAATGATCTTGAGCGTCTTATCTAGGCAGCTTCCCCGCCCTTAAGATTGCAGCTGAGAATCCGAGGCTGTGGCAGAATAGCCCTCTCTCCCCAACAGAGCCTGACAACGCCTACTGTGGACACCAGAAAAGTTCTGTATTTGCTTTCCCATCCGCTCTTTCAGCTAGCACATGGCCAGGGGGATCTGAAATCCCATCTGGAAAAAAAAAAGGGGGGGGACAACGAAAAATGCCTCTTTTCCTGCCTTTGGATATAGTTGCATGTAGACATAACGCCTAGAGCTGTGGCATCTTCTCAGCATAAGGGGACAAATGCAAGAGCCTAGCCAACAAGAAAGGATGGGAGAGCAGAGAGAGGGAAAGAGCCTAGGTCTTTAATGGCATTGTTGAGCTTCTGAATCAGCCCAATTAAAATGCCTCCAGGCTCCTCGTTGTATGAAATAAGTGGCTTAATCGTCTAACCCTTTATTGGTTAGACATCCTGCAGCAAAAGCACGGTTGCCGGTGCTCTTGCACAAGGAATACTTCTGACTCCCCGGACCACGTGGACGCCTCCTCTTGTTGACCCCCCTGCACCATACCTTTCTCCTTCAGAGCACCTCCTGTGCTGCGGTTTCAAGGCAATATCATCATCTTGTCCCCTGAAAGGGGAGGCAAGTTCTCTGAGGACAGAGGTCAAACAAGTTTTTGCTGATCATTTTTCCAGTACCTTGCCTACTTCCTGACACATAATAGGCCCCAAAGAAGGCGAATGAATGGATGAATAAATGAATGAATGAAAGAATCTAACTGAAACTTTTTAAATGTCAAAAATAAATTGAGGAACATGCCGTTTCTTTTTTATTATTTTTGCTTAGAAAAAGCTTGTACGGTTTTTAAAATTTTTTTCAGTTACAGTTGACATCCAATATTATATTAGTTTCAGGTTCACAGCGTAGTGGTCAGACATTTGTACAACTTACAAAGTGACCCTTCCAATAAGAGTAGTATCAACCTCACACCATACATAGTTATTATAATATTATTACCTATATTCCCTATGCTATACTTCACATCCCAGTGACTATTTTGTAACTGCCAATTTGTTGAACAAATTATTTTTAATGTGATTGTTCTCTCAGGTCTACAGATCTTATTGGTTTCTAATATTTCATCTTTGATCAAGTGCCATTTCCTGAAGACCTTGGTGGGATGTTGGGAATAGGGGCCTGTGTTGCTTGGCAAGAGACCTAAAACCATGAATCTACCTTTTACTAGGCTTGCATTTTAGGAAAAAATTTAATAGCTCCTTTCATTTCCTTATTTCTCACATTTCAAATACAGGATATAAGCCTTTCAGAAACAGAAATTATTTGCTATGTGCATTTTTTTTTTTTTACAGTTTTACCCAAATTATAGATTCTACCACCAGGCTTAATAGATGTCTAGGTCCAAATACCATTTTAATATTTCAAATATGAGTATTAAAATATGAATTGATTTTACTTTTTGTTTGCATTTCAAGCATGGTGGCCAAAAGAAACATTTAGTTTAGTCTTTCTGATGGCATGTGAAATTTACAGTGGATCTGAAGCTGTCTGGTTTTAATTTTTTCCCCCTTGCACATGGGTCTCCAATAAAGCATCCAGAAGAAAATAAATTAAAACCAGACATTTCTATCAGAAGTTTCACATGCAATTGCTAAAGACATGAAAAAATTTCACCATCACTTATTGGCTACAAACTAATATTTTAAATCACATTTTATTTTTCACTGCTAATTTCATTGACAAGCTTGAATTAATACATTATCATCTTATAAAATTATTATGACATTTGGCAGGACTGCTGAGTCTTTGGCAACAAGTGAAATCATTTCTACCTATCGTGAAGAACGGCCACTTGAAATTATCTTTGGAAAACAAAGGGTCCAAACAATCAAAATTCTGAAGAACTCAAGGAATTTTCCTACATAAATTTGATCCCGTGGCCCATCACAGTCTGGCGTTCCAATCCTAAATTCCCCAACTTAAGACGTAGAAAACCAAACTAATATATTCCTTCCCTTTCTCTTACCCGAAGCTAATCAGTCCCTCCCATCTAGTATTCTCTGTCTTGGCAAAAAGCTACCATCTCTCTTCCAACAAAAGATGTCGTCAGCTGTAAAATGCATTGTTACTTTCTCTACCAAAAAAATAAAAAATGCAAAAATTAAACCATGACACACTACCAACTATATATTATATATCCTGATTTCTGAAAGGTAGAGTGTGAGGAAATGTACATTTTAGGAGGAAGAAAGAGTATAATTATTGCCTAACCCAATATATTTCCTTTCTTTTACGCTTATTTATTATTTACTGGTCTTCGGAACAAAGACTTTACTTTTCACGCTCTCTCTCGCTAGCAATAGCCATGTAACCAGTTCTGGCCAATGAAATGGAAGAAAAAGTGTCGCGTGACAAGGGGAAGCCTCCTTTACACGTAGACAGTAGCTGCAGCTCCTCTCTCCACCCTCTTCTCCCTGTTTCCTCTGTCATCCTGCTCCCTGGGTGGGCAGGTGAAGACTCCGACAGTGAAGACAAGGTGCCCATGATGAGCACGTAATGAGGCGGAAGGAGCCTGGGCCTTGCCAACCGTCCTTGGATTCCACAAGAACTGCCCATCCTTGGGTCCTTCCTCCTCTTCCCTGTTCTGCTCTGTCTCGAAGGGGGTTCTCTCTCCTTATCCAGATTAAATCCCATGGCCGATTATTATCCTCATTTTTTTTGCTTACACTCACAACCCCTTCGCCTTCCTCACTTTCTGATACTCAGCGACACCGCCACGTAAGTCAGCTCTTTTCCTACCCTGCCCTTGTGCCCACCCATGCAGCTGAGTACAACTGGGGAAAGCACCAAACCATGCTGATCTGGCTCAGCTGGCCACGAACCTCAAATTGGTCCCTAATTCTCCTTGGCAATCCTACTAAACTTTTCTATATTCTATATTCATATATTCTTACCCCATTCGTTTTCTCACTTCATTAGACGACTCTCACTTTCTTCTCACTCCTCAAAACTCGGTTACCTTTTCTCCTACTCTCACTTCCTGCCGATGGCTTTCCCAGGTCACTGAGAAAATGGAACTAATCAAAAACCACTTCTTCAGGCTCCCGCCACCATGTTAGTTACCAGCAGCCGCACGCAAATGCCCTGTCTTCCCTCAGTTACTGTGGGTGACCTGTCCACGCCCCTACGGAGAGGGCGTCCCTCCACTTGCACGCTAACTAGGTCCCACCCTGAACCACCTACCTGAGAACCCCCCACCTGAGGACAACGTTCTAGCACTTCTACCCACTCTTTTCTACACCTTAAACCTTTCCCTAGTTCCTGGGATATTCTCCTCAGGTCACAGGCTGGTGATTGTTTCTCCCACTTAAAAAATAAAACGTACCTTGACTCAACGTATCGCACCCAACGGCACCCTCTTTGCAATGACAACCCCGTAAAGAGCTGCCCGTGTACACTCCACCTCGTCCCCCTCTCCC